AGGATGAAGAATTTTTTTAAGAAGAAAAACTCAAGTAGATATACCTAATACAAATATCAAAATGAATGTTTTGTTAAAAAAAAAAAAAAAATACATAGCGCATTCAAGGATCGTAAATTCATGACAGAATCATCAACTTAATAAAAACAAGATCTGGAGGGTCTCTCTAGCCCTGAGTGGATTAACTTCTGATTTAACAGAAAATAATTTATTTTACTCAACTGGGTTTGATCCGTAGTTTTTTAGTCCCCTAAAAAATACAAATAATAAATGTCTTATCATTAAATTAATTTTTAAATGCGATATTAGTGTGGGTTCATGCCATCTAAAATATCTCTTGTACATATTTTTTTTAGTAACGTTTATTATTACTGGATAAAACGTTATGTATTTGAAGCCATTGGTTCCAGGAAATATGAGATTATATAAAATTGAGTGTAACATCCCTAGCAATTTTATAATTTATATTTATTAATAATCTACCATTATTGTATATATATAATTAAATTATAAACTTGTTGTAAAAATTGAAAAATACAAGACATGCTATCCAGAGTTGGAGCATAGTCGTTTAAAAAGCAAGCTCAAGGAGCTCAGACATTAATTTTTTGCATTCTGGCAGTAGCAACGGGGATCAGGTTACGTACGCGATTTTTTTCATTTTTTTCTATATCCGCTTTTTTTGTCTTTTTTTCTGCCATTTCATACTTCAAGGGACAGAACACAGGTAAATAATCGATATAGATTCCCGATAATTTTTGAACAAGGAAATTATCTGTAAAGTTTTTCTTTCTATATGATGTAACATATTAAAAAAAAAACACAACTCTCTGATAAATAAAAATAAAAAGTTTTGAAAGTTAAAAAAAAAACTGGGCATTGAGATTTCATGTTCTCATATTTTTGTTTGAAGGAAAAAAATTAAATTGAAGATGAAATGCCACATTACCATATAAAAATAAAATATTATTTACATTATATAATATTTATTAATAAAAGGAAAGAAATGTTTATTATGTTTCTGTTGTAAAATCACTCAGCTCGCGTCTTCTGTCCCGAAATTTAAAAATAATAATTTACCTGTCATAATAATTTAAGTTTTGGTTTCTAATACTCAGCAGAATATCCTGCAATGTATTTTTGCTACTGTTGAAGATACCGTAAGGATTTTTTGTTTCTCGAGCTCAATATATATTCGTATTTAGGCTAGTTCTGCAAAGTTTAGTATATCTTTGAAATATTAACGAAATGAAGTAAATCTTTTAAAATCTCAAAGTTTGAAATTCTAAAAATTCATCTCAATTTCAATGATTATTTTTGAAAAATATTCGTTCTGAAAAGTATTCAGAACGATATCATCTTCCGTTTAGATTAGATGATATCTTATTGGGAAATTCGTTTTACATTACAAAAATATTTAAAGATTCTGAGAAATATTTAGTTACGTAAAAAAAAAATTGGGTTTTTATTGAAAAACAAATTACTTTTTTGGAAAACTCTTTGACTATATTGTCACGATACAGGTGTTTTTTTATCTCTTACTGACTTTTTTCAAAGCTTTGCAAATCTGTTGATGTCACACCGAACTTTTGATTATCAAGACTATACTATAGACTATCTCCAGTTTACTGACCTTGACTTCTAATATACCCTGTATATTCAATGTTATTGGATTGATTACAATAACGGAATTATATATTTATATTATTACATTGAAACTATTAATGATTAAGCTTACACTACCTAATATTAAATACCTAATAAATATTAAATAGTTTCATGAATAATGTACAATGGAAATTAACTTCACTTTTGATGAATGATTTAATCTTAATTAGTGAATAGTTAAATTCTTTCATTAATAAAAAACCTGCCTGTACAGTTCCTATTTGCATGAGATAATTAACATGATGTATTATAATGAAATGAGTGAGTATTTCAAAGCTAAATGGTGAGTTGTGAGTTAGTGGACTCAGTATAAAAGTTAATGTCTCAGCCAGATCATAAATCTTTTGAGCTCCTCGCTGAGTTACGCGCTCACCGAATCCTCTCCCAAATACAACCTGCTATATTACTAACATATTAACTAACATCTCCTCCGCTATACCCAGTGGCGCCGCCTATTCACCTAAATCTCAACCTGTTTGTATAAAAATATCTGTGTACACTCTATCTCTTCCCGAGTGTCCAGTTCTTTTTCTTTTCCTCGGGTCGTGGACTCCTCTAAATCCTCAGGGTCTGGGAGTATAATAATTCAACCCTCCTCTTTTTTTTTCTTTTCTCTCGGTCGGCCAACCCCAGGAAGTCTTGGATACAACTCTGCCTCGCTCCCTTACACCTTGTTGAAACGTCTTCTTTTTTCATAGAAGATAGTTTTTTCCTTTTAGGAGTCCCGTGAGGTTTCTGTTGGTAGCCGCCTTTAGATTGCTTTCGTGTATGTCCAGGATGTACGGTGGCAATGCTTCTACAACTCATTTGTGGTGTCGGCGCCTTTTACGGAATATAGTTTAGTATGTATATAAATATAAATATGTACATATAAATGAACATTTATACATACAGTAGCAATATACTTTATATATAATCTCAGATACAAAAATATCCATCAGTTATTTTTGCAATAATTTGGCATTTTGGGAGAAAAAACATTTCTGAATCTCTTTGTTATTCTATCAGTCCTAGAATAAAGTTAATTTAATTTTAAAATGATAACCTATATGTTGTATGCATTTTTTTTTCTGATTCCATTTTATTTTCGTTTTGCAAAATTGTAACTAATGAGTGGTTAGCTAATACTTAGAGACTTTTTTTTTGAGTCGTTGCTACTAACTGGAAATTGATAAACTTTTTCCTCACTCTACTTCCTCACCTTTTAGGCTATACCAGGCTGTCCCGGACCAGAGTCTGAGACAGGAGGATTAATGACAGAGTTAAAAGCCCCTCCGGCACTGAGACTCGAACTCATCAGGCTGCCAGTCAACGCGGTGCTGTGCACACGAAGAATGACATGATGATTTTTTAAGACAGGCTTGGTTCGATGGTAGGGGAATAACCGAAAATACTGATTATATCTACACAATATTTTATTGTGAATATCAAAAATGAATTCTTGACTTTCTATGAAAAGTATTTTGTCTTATTCGATCTCTGGGTCATTGTAACGTTCCTGGATACTGCTAATCTGCCAAGTTTCAGAGCCGAGAATAATTGAGAGGACACCACCTCATCGAAAATAGGTAACGAATCGATACAGAATACCTAATTAGACGATGTGGTACCAGTTATCAAGGAGAATTATTGATGTAAGGAAGCCTCGAGTGCTATATGTGGTCCTCTTATCAACTATTGATTGGAATAATGACGGCAGGATTGTAGTGATAATATATCATTAGTAGGGCTGGAAGGGCCTATCGATTCGCCAAATTGCTAGGTGGGGAGGTTAATACATACCAGCGCGATATTGCTACTGATGGTATCCCGCCCGTCCGATGGTAGGATTTGCGGGTCCAATATTTATCAGGCAAAGGAGATTCGTTGATTAATATTTAAAACGCAAGAATCAATTAATATAATCTATAAAAATATATAAAAGAAAAGAAATTTTAAACAATACATGAAGCAACAAAACAATATTTAAAATAATGTAGAAAATAGTATAAGCAAGTAATCAGGAAAAAATTGAAATATTTGAGAAAATGATTTAATATATAATAATATTAATTAAATTAGGCAAGGAAAAGGTGGTTGAAGATGATAGATTTCAACGCGGAAACTGCTGAAACAAGACTTTTGGGAAGTATGGGACACTAACGGTGAGCTTCACCCGGAAAGATTTTTTTTGTATGTATATATTAAGAAAATTACTTTAGAAGAATAAAATAAACAAAGTACGTAATGAAATGGTGTTTAAGTGATTCTTTAAGTCCTATTAAATGTAATTATACGAACAATAATACTTTTAGAGATAATTTTTTTCATAAAACATGGTTATATTTTCACATTTAGGGGGAAGGAGGGGAGGGAGGCTTCAGCCTAAAAGCCTCCTCCCTCCTCTCTCCCCTTAGATCCGCCTGTGGTGTGGAATAGTGTTCCAAAGGAATTGTGCTTAAATTATGATCGACTTTAAAAGCCATAGGTCTGTGGAGAGAAGGCTAGAAGTCCAAAGGACGAGATCGGGTGAGACGGGATTGATGAACTATTTAAGCTGAAGGCTCTGTAGTATGAGTCTTGGTCTTGCAAACTCAGTCTTGGTCATTGTCTTGGTCTTGCGCAAGAGTCTCGCTACAGTCTTGGAGTTACTTATTAAGTTATTACTATAGAGATGTTATTGTAATTTTTAGAAGAAACCTAACTAAGCCTGAATGAAAAGTTAGAGGAGTTAAATGCAAAAGTATATTGGTTATACCAATTATTAATATATAGCAACTTTTTGTCAAGTTTATCAGTAACTATTTTGCCTTAATTTTTATTAAACAAATGGATTTTCTTACAAATCCTTGTCTTGGTACTTTATAGCTTGGTATAGAATTGATGCAAAAAACTAATGACACCAATAATGGAGCCACCTAACTTCAATACATCACTGGATTATATCGGTTTCCCTGGTGACTCCGAAAACAAATCTTATTAAGGAATACATCAGCAGTTTAAGTTTTGCTTCAAGCTCACCAGAGTCCGCCGTGAACCAGACAATTGTGGTTAAAGCAGGGGAAGGAGAACAGAGAAGGGTGAATGAATTGTTTTAAGTTTGAGGCGGTCTGGAGGGAAATATGAGAAAAAAGTTGTTTCCACAATATATTTAGTAGTGACAGTAGAAATTTTACTGTAGTATATTTATTTACCAGCTCTCTATACGTCAATCAGATGTGTGGGTTTCCTCTTCTAACACTCACTGAACAAAACATCAAATATTTTTACCAACTTTGTTTTGTACAAAAAGTGTTTTGTACAGGCCACCCAGTCCCTTTACCATATGATCCTTATGAAGAATCTCCATATTACTACAAGAGCTGGAACACTGACCTTGGAAGTAGCTCTTGGTCCTGAGGTAGCTGACAGATAGCCTGAGGATGGAGAGGCGGTCCAGCTTGCTGAGGATGTTCTGCTCGAAGGGGAGGAGGTTGGCTAAGGTGTCCAACTCGGCGTTCAGTCGCTCCCTGTGCCTCTTGCTCGGGTTGCTCTTGGTCACCCCGTCCTTCGGTGGGGGCTTCAAGCTGCAACAATAAAAAATAAAATATAATAGCATATAATTAGTTATAAGGAGCGGAGTAGCTCGCTCAGAGTGAGTAAGGCACCAGACGGCTAAGCTAAAGGTCCCGGATAATTTTTCATCAGCCTTGAATCGACTCTGTGGACGGGAGACTCTCCTGGGGCTCAGCCAGCCTCTGTAAAGTGAGTACTCATAATTTAGAAAATTATGAGTAAGAAGAGGAAACACCTCCCTGCACAACCGTTAGCATTGACCCAATACTTCCTAACATAGTACAAAAACCAATTTCCTTAATGGATATATATATATATTATATTATATATATATATATATATTATATATATATATATATATATATATATGAAACTAAAAAAATATACTCCGTTATTGTAGTACTGATACTGGTGAGGGGAACTACACCGGGGAGTGGTCCTTTTTGCCATCTCCTGACGACTACCTTGAGGTTGCCCCCGCGTTCTTACCAGACTAGGGACATCAAGATTCATTTTCCGAGTAATAAATATGAAACACATAACCGGATTTTAGCTTTAAATCTTTTCAATTTTAATATTCTCCTGGAGTCATACTTTTCCCTCCACAGTTGGAGGGACAAGTCTGGTTTGGAGTTCTCTCGCCAAATTGTAAATATTGTATATAGTTGTGTATGTGTTCTTTTTATTTATTTATTTTAGGTTATTTTATTCTTATTTATTGTATACATATTATTTTTCTGTATAATTTATTTTATTTATTGTACATAGAGTGTGAATGTGATCTGTGAACTCTATTATAAATGTCCTAGAGATAAATTGTAATATTTTTCAATAAATAAGTTTAAAAAAAAAATTATATTCTTAGATCTATGTTTGTTTTGTTTTTTAGACCTAAAGTACGCTTTTTTTCTGTTGGTAAAGAGAAAAATGTAATAATCAAAAGCCTTCCTATGATTGTTATATCATGAGAGATTGATTAAACATTTTCTCCAAGCAGTTCTTTATTGGTCCTTCTCCTCTATGGATTAGTAATCTGATCCCAGATCGCTCAGGTTATCGTGCGGAGGAGTTTCCTCTCAAAACATTTAATAAGGGTCGCTGGTTATTGTCCAGGACGAATTGCTGTATACCAGAAATGGGATGTTTATCATAGCATTGGGTATCCTTCATTTGAAACATATAGAAATTTTGAATATTTAATAGTTGACCGTTGCATTATAAAGGAAGGAGATGGTCCGGGGTTGTGGTCATAAATAGGCGAAGTAGTGGTAAAACTATTTTATTGAAAGCTAACGTTTCGACCCGTCTTTGCAGGTCTTCATCAGGGAGGTGTGTTCCTCTAGGAGTTTCACTTAGAACTGAAACTCCTAAGGGAACACATCTCCCTGATGAAGACCTGCAAAGACGGGTCGAAACGTTAGCTTTCAATAAAATAGTTTTACCACTACTTCGCCTATTTATGACCACAACCCCGGACCATCTCCTTCCTATATAGAAATTTCTCTTTATTTCATTATATTTACGCTGTTTCTGACCAGTGGTCATTTATTGAGATTATTGTGGGTACGAGGTGCTTGAATTTTTCCACTTCATTTTCTACAATTATTCTTTAGCTGGAGTGTGTATTTCGCCTACTATCATATTTATTTTTCTAAAGACCGATTTTAATTGAGTTCAACCAGTTTATAGAAGTACTAAATCATTGATTTAACATATTAATAGTAAAAAACGGTTAACATAGTAAATATAAATTAAAATATTATAATATCATCTTTGTAATGTGGCATTTATGTGATATGTGAATATTTTGTAAGAAAAATAAAAACTTAAGGAAAAGAAGAAACGGTGTTTGAATGATCCATGCTTATTGGTTGAACTATATTTTTTTTTCCTCTTCATGTCTTCATTAGCCCGTTTCATAGATGAAAATCTACAAATATGTTGTTAAAATTAAGTTAATTAATTTTAATTATTCATAATTGTTTATCATCTGCAACTATCCTCATGTTTTTCAAATTCAATAATTGAAATATAAAACAGTTATTACTCATGATAGTTAGAAGTATTTTGAACCAGAAAGAAATAGTCCGTGGAACAGACTCCTTTTTATCAAATTATTAACATCCTCCTAAAACTTCGTAAATAGCTTCATCTCATCGTAACCTACAAATATTTTATTTACGAATATTTTATCATAGGCGTTTCAATTTGGAGATCGGCAAACTTTGTCTATTTAATTAGGTACTAAAAACTCATGAACACCATTTGCTTTCCACTCGAATCGTAGGATAATATGATAAATATGACAAAGTCGAGAAAAAACGTGGCCTACAAAAATGTCTGTTTGGCGTGACCTCCACCCCCAAAATATTAAAATAACGAGGTTATATAGGCCAAATGGCCAAATAGTTTAAGGCCACTTTTTTTCTCGATTTCGTTATCATATTATCCTACGATTCAAGTCGAAAACAGATGGTTATTCGTGAGTATTTAGTACCTACTTTAATTGACAAAGTTTGCCGACCTCCAGATTGAAAACGTTCCAATTCCGAGAATTTTCGTAAATAAAATATTTGTAGATTATGATGAGTCGAAGCTCTTTACGAAGTTTGAGGCGAATGTTAATAATTTGATAATAAGGGACTTGTACCACGGACTATAGGTAAACCTTCTTTTTCAAAGGCCTCCTGAATCCTTAAAGATCACTAAAGAAGAATTCTCATATTTTATATGCCCTCTCCTTTACATTTTCATCTTTTATTAAGACCTTGCTGGACTTATGATAATAAGACTTGTGTAATAAGGTAGGATTACATCTGCATTCACAATACACAGTAACAAATGCAGGCTTAGTCACTTACATTAATACACTTCTCCTACTTATAGAGAGCGTAGCCAACATTTAGACTTCTTGTGTTGGATTTTTTTAAAAATCCTGTTTTGAAAAAAGTCAGTGTATAACTTGCATGCTACGAATCGCAGCCTGTAATATCGCAATCATACTTCATTTCCCGCCATTAATATTCAAAAGCAATAAATATGATAAAATTGCCCGGGAGTTATAGCTGTCAACGGTGGGGGTATATCGATCGTCAAGGAGTCCTTAAAAAATTGTTTTCACTAAATTTCACTTTTTTTATAAATACTATGTTACCCACATCATTCTATACTACTGTAAACCGCCCATGTTTAAAAAATAAGTTGTCTTAAATTTGTTTAATTATAGATATGTATATGGGGACTTAACAACTCGTTTATTTCCAAAGTGAACTTTTTAAATTAGAATCCATATTTTCTATTTCAATTGTGTTCTGCAAAGTAATATTTACAAAAAAATTAGGTGTTTTATTTGCATCACACTATAGTGATAAGTGAAAAAATCAACAAGAGAGATTATAAATAATAGTTCAATATAAAGAGGATGAAATTCTGAAAACCTCCCTTGCTTACAGTATGCAGGTCCGATTTTTAGATATTACAATCTATATCTTCAATAAAACTCGTCATCATTTTGTTTTCGACACATTTATTTTCCTTTTTACCTCACTAACACGACGTCGCGTTAAGATATAGTTTTGAATAATAGCTCATTACAAAGAGGATGAAATGATGAGCATTTCTCTTACTAACGATATGCAGATCCAGTTTTTAGTTTTTAAGATGTTTTAATCCATATGCAAAAAGACTTCAATTAGTCGACTGCAGTGGACTTTACCCGAAGGTTTCACATCGGAGATCTAAAGGCTCATTCTAATTTACTCATACCATTATAAGTGCCAAACGCGCCAAAAAAAGTTTTCACTTAAAAAACTAAATTAATAACACATATTTCATAAAATCATTGATTATTTAATATTAGTTAAATTATATTCAAACTTAAAAAAGGCAGGTTTTGGAACGAACAATATGTTTAGGGAACTTTTAGTACAAAAATAGCTTAACTGAGCTGAGTTTCGGATTGGATAGATAAAATTCTAACTGATTTGGAGGACAAAAAGTTATCTTATTATAGATACTTTTTTCTGTGCGCATTTTATTATATAGTATTGGTATTTTCTCCGTTACGCATTTCTCCGGGAAATAGAATTATTTATTTTTATCATTTAGGATTGAAGCTAAGCCAAATTGAATTATTTTACCTTTGGCCAAGAAACTTGACTTTATAAATTCTAGTAATTTTTAAAACTCGCTCATGTGCCCATACAGACATTTTCACTCGGCCAACAAAATTCTTGTATATAAGGACCGCTGATAATTTGGACCCACGACTTTACGAAACCCTTTTATCCGGTAAAAGTTTCACCATCAAACTGAGTTCATACAAGAAATTGGTCCAGAAACTTGATCATCTAAAACAGCCTTCACATAAGTTCCTTACTTAAAAAAAATCAGATCAATTTTAAAGTTCCTTTTCTGAAAGATATTACAGCCATGGCCAAGTTGTTTATAAATCTGTTGTCACTTTCTAGAATATTATATATAGCGTGTAAAGAGTAAAGAAGAAATGAGCCGGTTTGTAAAATTTGTTGTTGTTAAGTTATTTATTTAATCAAAAGTTAAAATGTGCTCAAAGCATAGTATCCTCAAGTATGAAGTTGCGAGAATTCTCATGAAAAGAATTACTCCCTTCTACGCTGGAATAAGACGTTGCGATAAACTCGAAACTGACGGAGTAGAAATAAAAGGAATTAGCAGAAATGCAATAAGATGTTTGAGAAAAAAAATAAAATAAAAATATAAAACTATAGAAGAGGACACTAAGTAAACTGGAGATGAGCTGTGAGTTGGTAAGGTCAGTATCTGTCGAAGAGAGCGGACCGGACATGCGATGTTCAACACGCAACTTCCATACATACTATACAGTCTTCTCTTATATATATATATATATATAATATTTCTGTACGATGATTTTAAGTCTAAATATTCATTTATATTTTAAAAATTGCCTATATAAATAAAAATGTAAATATTCGTTTGTTCAAAACTCGTTAATTTCGTTAGTGATTTGCTTTGTTAGTTAAATTGCTTTGAAATATTGGCATAATGTTTCTATCCGATTCAGGAGTGTTTTTACATACATTTAATTACCTTCCGGCATTTCGTTTTGAAAAGGCGGCCGAAAAAGGTTTGTCGTTATAGACTGTAGCGCCTAAACGGCTGTAACGATTTTAATTAAACTTGCTACAGAGATATAATGTTTTAAACATTAAGTACTTTTACTTCAGACATTTTAAGACAAATTCTTTGCGAATTCTAGAGTTAGAAAACCAGACAATCTCTATATCTATAAAAAGAATAGAATAACAAAAATATCGCATATCCACAAGTATAATGAAATAAAATATATTAGAAACATCTGATTTCTTTTTTATTTCTATTTTTCTTCAACCAGACCAATCCACAGTAATGCATAGCCGGGAACAGTTAGTTATAAATAAATTTCTAGTGAGAGAATTTGGTTGGAGATTGCATAAATAAATAGTAATACTAATAAATTATATTTGTTTTCAGGCGAACCCATATCAATGGAGTTGAGTTTACACATACATATATGAGAATATACGAATAAATAAATAGTGTAAACATCAACAATCAATCATTTCTCCACCATTATAAATAAACCTCTTTTGAATATAACAAGTTACTATGTAATCTTAAACCGGTTTGATAGATTTGAAAAACGACGAAAAACACAAATAGACTTAAACAAAAACCCTAGAAACAGAACTTTTACACCTTTCTGTATTTGCAGTGAATCGAACATTGAAGATAATTGGGAATCGCATTTACCTCATGGGCATAATTTTTCTATGTAATTATTGAGAGAAGGGAGGTCCATAACATATTGTTAACCCTCTAACAATTCTCTATAGCGGACAATTATGTAAATCCCATCAAATTTTTAATGATTTTATATTATGAGACTTCCGAATACCGGACGCTTTCTATATCAGATGTGGACGGGTACCATGCTGGTAATTTGATCTCCATAACGCAGTGGAGACCAGTGAAGCTCGTATTATGAGAGGATAAGTTTTGCTTTTATTTTTTTGTTTTTTATGTAAATGTTTAGGATTTATAAGTCTACTTTAATCTTAGGAAATTCATGAGGTTTACTAATTTCGCTTCTTAAAATTCCCGGCCATTCAAAATATTAGTGGGAACGAATGAGACCGTTTCAAACATTGAGGCATACGTCCCATGGGAATGGACAAAGGAGAATATGTAAAGATATAATCTAGAAGGAAATACTTTTAAAAAGATTTTTTTTCCTAAAAGTTTTAAACTTATTTATTGAGAAATATTACAATCTGTCACAATTAAGCGCATTTATAATAGTATTCAGAGAGCACATTCACACTCTATTTACAATAATTTAAAATAAATAATACAGAAAAATAATAATAATAATAGAAGTAAATGTTATATAAACAAAAGAACTAAACTCATAAAAATAACAACTTAAACAAGAACATACTTTTATACAATAACTACAGAATCCATTTCACTCAGGAGATCTCCGAGCCAAGCCTTTCTCCCCACTCGTGGAAGGAAAGGCAGGACTCTAGGCGTTCCCAGCGCCTCTCACTCAGCCGCATTACTGGCATCAAACAACTAGAGAATCTGGCCATTGCCATAACTCCAGTATATGCTTATTCATAAAAGATCTCTGGGCCTCTACCGCTTCAACCTTCGAGAAGAATTGTAGGGATGGAGGGAGCTAGATTGGGATTGTGCAAAACGATGATTTATAAGGCTCAAATGAAATTTTGAGAATTTTCTGGGATAAGGTCTTGGACAAATGGGATATTAAGGTCATGGTGTAGGGTTTTGTTGATTACATAGAATGGAGCATCGACTATTTTTCGAAGGACTTTACATTGAAAGAATTGGATGCGTTTGATGTTGGAAAATTTTGATGTCCTCCACAGTTCAAGTCCGTATTTTGTTTTCAATAGAAAATATTTAAAAAGATTCAAGTTAGAACGAATCAGATTTTTATTCATTTTTTTTTAACAGAAGATCTTAATTTAATTTTAAACAAAATCTTGGTTGCCTATTATTATAAGTATTTTCCAATTATGGATATGTTTCTTGATCCAAGAAATCGTTCCTATAAATCAACTTCTGATAAAATTATCTGTCATTGGTAGAGTGATTACACAGTGATTAAAGTTTTACTCTAAAAGGATCCGAACCCAATAAAAGAATGAAAAACGGCAGAAATTATCCGCTCACTGTAGACCCGTAATCAAAATTAATTAGAGGTTTTAAGATGGTTCGTTTAGCGAATACCAAACTAAACCCCTGATCTCACGTCCATTAAATGTTTTAGATGCAAATGTCTGGTGCATCATAATGAGATCAGAATGAAATGATACTGCATTTTTGACAAAACAAGAAATTTATTTACATAAGTTGGAGTTGCTGGGTCTCACGATGCTAAAAATCTGCATCCTTTCCCACAGTGAGAAATAATGAAAAAAATATATTTAAAAACACATTTATGTTAAAAAGGCAATTTTTATTTTTAAATTACCAAAGAGCATCAAACGTTTGTATTTATTAGTTTATCAAAATTTTGTATAAACATGAAATGAATTTTTAAAAACTGGAAACTTTTCAGTCAAAAACATTCAGTACTTCAACTCCATGGTAAACCAGCAATATTCCTTCATATTAAGACTTTGACATATCAACAGTTAACGATAACTTACACGGAAGTATAATAATTCAAGGCATAATAATTCAAATAATTCAATGGTCACAAATTAAATACCCGCAAGAGACATGAAAGAAGTTGGATGAGGAGTCTACTTCTCAACAAATAATAATTAGTAAATTCCAGATAGAAAGTCGGGTTCTCACTCACTAACATATTATTCAGTACTGTTTTCGGTATTTCTGGCAGTTATTAAGAAAAATATATGTATGAAAATGAATCTATTTGAATAAAACGAATTCTATATTTGAAAAAAAATATGCTTCTTTTTCCGTTAAATTCAAAATTACTAAAAGAAATAAGAGGTTAATAATAGATACAAAAAGAGGGTGAAATTCAAAGCTGATCATAATTCAAGGGTGGTTTAACGGTCCTTTATTCAAAATCAAGTTGATACCATTAATTTATAATAATCTTGAAATTTCATTTATTTATATAACTGAAATTCTTTTTAAAATTTAATTTATCGTGTTTTGATTCTAAAAGCCTCTAAACTTCAAGAAGTTAGCAGCTCAGAATCATTAAAAGCGTTACAAGATTAAAGGAAGGGTGTATATTGAAGGTGATAATAAGTAAATATGCATGGAATTAAGATATAATGTTTTAAGGCATCTCATAATTTTATTTAATACCTCAAAACAGCGAAGTATTCTATCAAACACATTCAAACTTTTCAGTCCAAAGTCCTTCGAATAATAGACAATGCTCCGTTCTATGTAGCCAACAAAACTTTACACCATGATCTCAACATTCCATTGTCACATTCCTAGCAGTGTTGCCCAAAATCTGTCTTGGTCTTCACTTTGCAAGACCAAGACCAAGGCCACCTAACTGTTGCAAAACCAAGACCAGGACTGGTAAAAAAAAATCAATTTGTTTAATAAAAATTAAGTCAAAATAGTTACTAATACTTGATAATCTTAGTTACTATATGTTAATAATTGGTATAACCAATATACTTTTAGATTTAACTCCTCTAATTTTTTATTCGGGCTTAGTTAGGTTTCTCCTATCTAAAAAATTACAATAATATCTCTCGAATAATAAGCTAATAAGTAACTGTAAGATTGTTGTTCGCTAGACCAAGACTCGCCTTGGTCCCGCATTTAGGCAACACTAAGTCCTAGACCATAACTCAGAAAAAATCTACCAGAATCTTACGTTTCATCAAAATTCTCTTGCACAATCTCTATATAGCAACATCCATCCCAATAATCCTCCAAGAAGATTAAAACAACAGTGACCCCGCGACCTTTGGTAGTATGAATATATTGGAGTTCCGGCAATGGTCAGATTCTCCACACAAGATATGAATGTATGGGGCTAGAGCCCTCTCGATCAATCACCACAGGCTATAGCATCAGTGAAGAAGTTGAGAAAGTAGCCCTGGGATCTCCTGACGTCCTGCATTTCCCTCCAACCTTGGAGGGACAAGCCTGCTTCGGAGTTCTCTCAGCTGATTGTAAAAAGTTTATATAGGTACCCCATTTTCTTTTTTAATTTACTTATCTTTGGTTTATTTTATTTTTATTTTCATTATATTTTATTTTTTATTTTCTGTACATATAGGGTAAATGCAGTCATAGCTCACTGTAATTATTGTCTATGTGACAGAATATCATATTGCCCAATAAATAAATTAAAACATATCTCATAGAACAGTTCCGCAACTCAGTGTTCCCAACCTACTAAATTTTCTAATGGGCTTATATTTTTAAAGAAAAATATGAAGTATTACTTTGTCAACACATTCGGTTAGGGGAGGAAAAATTAGGAGGAAAAAATTACAATACAATTTAAATTGCCTTTGAAAGTTCTAACATAATTTCTTTTTATGAAAGGTTTGCCCCATCCCTGAGGTAATTTTATAAGCTATTAATTAGTTTATGAGTTCCTCCTTAATACCTCACTTCCTACCTGAGAACGTTCTTTATGAACTAATTTATGGCAAGGAGGGTATTAATGCCCGGTCGGAGCGTGTATGTGGATTAGAGGTTCGAAAAGTGGGTATTGGTCGAGACAATAGGTTGGAGCCATAAACCTCAGGTGAGGTTAATCGAGGCTCACCTTGAGCCATTAGCAAACAAGTTAGTGTTTATGGC